TCTTCAGTGATGTGCCTAGATGATCTCAGCAAATGTTGATCATCCGGTTTTGCCAATTCATGGTTGTGTGTTTCTACCGAATTTTTCACCGTCCATATCCCTTCTTCACTAACAGAAAATCTCACCATAGCAGGGCATCCAATTCTTGTAGTTGATTTTCTAAATTTAACCTTCTGTATATTTTCTGTTTCCTTCTTGAATCCAGATTTTAAACAGACAAAAACCTTTGATTTTAATTTCCTGGTACCAGGCCAGTATGAAAGATGTTCTTTCCGAACACTAAAGCCATGCTTATGTGCATATTGGCAATATTTAACATATGCTTCCTTCTCAGATTTGTAAACCCCCTATAAAAATAAATTACAATATTCATTAAAACAACTGAATAATTCCCTAATAAGAACATGAAAATGAAGAACTGTATCGAGTATTTTATCAATACCGAGTTATAAGTATGAATACCGAGATATACCGAGTTCTCAAAAATCTCGGTACAAGTTCTTCATAAGTATAATATCGGTACAAAAATCAATTTCAAGTAATAGAAATTAAAATCTAGTTATGTAGAAGACATAAGTGACGTAAAGATACTAAAAAATCATCAATACCGACTTATACTTATTAATACAGAGAAATACCGAGATGTTAGAAATCTCGGTACAACTTCTTCATAAGTATAAAAAACAAATTCAAGTAATATAAACAAATATCGAGCAGTACCTACTTATAAAAAAACAAGTTACATTTATATAACGAGCAGTACCGAGTTATCAGAAGGTTAGGTACAAACAAAAATGAGAGGATCAGACGAAGATGGAGGACAAATTACTTGTAAAAAATAGGAAAAATCGTCATCTAAAGTATAAGTGCCAAATGTTTCGTCGAAATCGTCTAACTCTTCCAAAGTAGGAGTTCCCAAAGTAGGTTCCTTCGAATCCATCGTGTTGAACGCTTCGCGGAAGTTTGCGTAAACCCTAAATACTGTATAACGATCTGTGTACAGTAGATAATCGGCCAGAAGTTTATATACCCGTGTCTTTTAAAGTTTTCCGGCCCGTTTCAACGAAATTAGTGAAAAAATGTCAAATATCTAAAATATAATGGGTTTGGGTTGGGTCGTCGGGCTGCTACGTGGCGTAAAATTAATGGTGGCCGAACCTATAGAAACATTCGGTCAGAGGACGTAATAATTGTTCGTTGTAAGGTTACCAAATTTATAGTGATTGACACCCTTTCAACATTCTAATACATAAGAAACAAATTTGGTTGGGTGGACTTATTAAAAAATGGTTTGGCCTTGTAGTGGAAGTGACTAATTAGATAATATAGTTCACATCATAAATTTGCAAATTATCATAGAACTTCTCAACATATAAAAAATAAGCAATTTGAATTATAGTAAGGAATTAAAAAGTTAGAAATGTAGATGTTGCCTGAAGAAAGAGACACTTATTCACTAAATGTAATGTCCACTGGTACGTGTCAAGTCGTTTAAATATTTTTTTTAAGTCCTTATTTTTGCACTAATAGAAAAATTGATGAAGCCTTAGACTGAAGCATTTCAAGGGCTATGCATTTTATAATTGGCATGCTTCATGTCTTCGGAATCTTATGGATGAGGTTAGTAACATCAAGAATTGATGGTGGAGATGTGTGGGTCAGCCAAGTTGTGCAAGTCCAATAATCTTGAGAATAGTAGGATTGGGTTAGAAAATTAGCATTTGCTAATATAGTAAAGTTTTGCCCTTGGTGGCAACCTACCTAGGCTTCATTATTTATTCACTATAGAAATAAAACAAACAAACAAAATTTAACACTTGACAAGGGAGATGCCTCATGGCTATCAAGCCAAAAAAAGGAAGAGGAATTGTTAGAAACACTGATAATTTCAATTTATTCTTAAATTTTAGGTCCTCCGAGTCTAAATAATCAATTAAAGGTAGAGTCCCTTTCCTTAATGTCATAAGTTCGCTATGGAGTTCCTTAATATGATGTTTTGGAAAAAAAATTATACTTAAAATTTTCCTTTATTTCAAGCCAAGTCAAGATAGTTGATGTAAAATATTAAGAAAAAAATTCAATGGCCTTACAACCAGAGCAAGATGAAGGGTCAAGATGAGATCAATGGCTATGATTACCCTATTAAAAGATCAAGATCCAAGGCCAAGACAGATTAATTCAATATGAAAAATATGAAGAAGGTTATATTTGAAAGGTTTTGTATGCATATTTAAAATATGAAATTTGAAATTTTAAGTCTCTCCGTATTCTCTCCCCACCACTCTTCATTCCAAACCATAATTAATACTAACTAAAAATATGATAAATATAGTTGAAAAAAGAAGAAGATAAATATAGTTGAAAAGCTTATTACCAATAAATAATGATATTTTATAATTGTTAAAAGATAGTATTAATACATTAGGTACCACCCAACTGGCTTAAAGTCAGAAGCTTATTACCAATATTAATGTCTATTATTATAAACTTTTCTTAAAAAAAAAAAAAAAACCTCAATCCTTTAAAAAAAAGAAAACATTTTCATGATTAAAATCAATGGGCTTCAGATTTGCTCTATGTGCAGAAGATACTCTAAAGGTTAAAATATAGCCCTAAAAACTCCAATCACATATTTCATTGAGCACAAAAAGCAAAATATTAAAGAAAAGACATAACTACCAGGAATCTAAACCAACTCATCCAATAAAATTACATAGCATATGACCCTTTACATTGGAAACGATGCTTCAGACTGCACCACAAACTAGGCAAAGAGAAAAAAATATATTTCTGAACAAACTGTATCATTTCTGATGTATTTCTATATCAGTTTGGTCAATCTTAGAATTTAATTCGCCTCAACAACCTCTTCCATAATGATTCAATTTTTTTTTTGAAATGGGGTATCGACCCACTGCCACCTCAGCTTTTGAGATGTTTGACGGTGTGAGTAATCCTCGGCTGACCTGGAAGAGACACTAACCACAAAAACCAACTGGCCTGCACTCGATTGTGCCCTACTGAAGAGGCGCTGCCGCTCGAAGGGAATCAAACGCGGGTTAGGGGTACCCAACCGCGCTCGCCCTCCAACCAAGATAAGTAATGATGGGTATGATTCAAAATTTTACTTTTGACTAATTATTTTTAATTTAAGCCACATAAATACGTTAAAATATACCTATCAACTATTTTTTTCCCCTATAAATTGTCATACATCAAACTCTATTCGATCATCACTATCACTGACAATCTCCATGGATTCAGTCAAAGCAAGCAACAAAATCACAGACGTAGTAAGGCTTCAGCAAATACTGAAGAAGTGGAAGAAGTTCGCGATTACTCAAAAGAGCAATAGCAAGAAGAGCATCAGCCTACTCAAAAAGACCTTTTCTTTCTCAGACAGTTCATCAGTGCTGAACTGCTATGTTCCAAAAGGATATCTTGCACTGTGTGTTGGAATAGAGATGAAGAGATTTGTTATTCCTATGGAGTATTTGAGGCACAAAGCCTTTGAAGTTCTTCTTCAAGAAGCTGAAGAGGAGTTTGGATTTCAAAATGAAGGTGTTCTGAGGATTCCTTGTGAGGTCTCCATGTTTGAGGATGTGCTTAAGATGGTGGATAAGAAGAACAAGGTTGGATTTCGTCACTGCTTCTCAGAGACTGATCTGAGTCAGGTTTGCTTCCACCAGAATGAATGTGTAGGCGAATGTTATTTAGAGCTGCTTCTATCTTGAATTTTCAGGAAAAGAAAGAAGCAGCTCGTTACTGATTTCTTCTCTTTCTGCATTTTTCCCCCTTTTTTTAATGGGTAGATTGAGGTGCTATGTTTTGAGCATTTGAACTAGAAAAGAGGAAGGTTAACTGTCAGATTATCAACAGAGCAAGAGATTTACTTAAGTTTTTTTTATTTTTTATTTTTTTCATTTCTGTAACTAATGGATTAATAGACTTTCCAAAGGTAAGTTGGAGACATAAATTTCTTAATTTCAGGCAACCAAAAGAGCATTGATCAGCTTTATTCTCAGCAGTAATTGCATTCATGAACATGTTTGCATAACAAATAATTGAATTAATACTAAGAATTTCTATGGTGGTTAATAAACTAAAACTGAGTCTGAATTTTTATTATTGTTATTTTATTAAATTTCAATGGCTTTTTTCATTAATTCCTTATTAATATGATATTTTAAAATCGGAGTTCTAAAAGGAAATGTTTACACAAATCTTATCAGAAATTTTTTACTGAAATTGTTTTTGAAGAAATGTGAAACCATATGTTTACACAAACCACATGATTGTGTAGCTTCATTTATGCTGCTACCTACTGAATGAATTTGGGAAATTTTGTTATGGAATATTTTATCAATAGAATTTTCAAATGCTTCTGCTTTTTTTTATCCATCAAATTTTCATCTCCATACTACAGCATTTTGAATGATGCAAAACTTTGGTTTTGGTAACTGTTGATGTAGGTGGATTTCTTACTATGAGGGGTGTAAATGAGTAGAAGCGAGCTTGTGTTACCTGTGGCTTGGGCTTGAGCTTGATTAATAAATTGAGTTTGAGCTTGAGCTTGAGTTTTATTTTATGAGTTTGAATAGCTCAAAAGCTAGCTCGTTTAGTATGAAAAAGAGAAAATGATTATGATTCGAGCAATTATTTTAATAAACAATAAAAAAAAGAAAAGTAGAAGAAAATAAATAAAGAAATCACTTGATTTAAGAAAGTTAAATATAGCTTTTAAATATTTTTAATTACTTTATAATTAAAATTCTAAATGCTAATATATTTTAAGTGTATTTTATTTTAATATTTTTTAATCTAGTTAGCTCGTGAGCTAATGAGTCGAGTCAGGGCTGGCTCAAGCTGAGCTCGTTAGCTCATCGAGCTAGGCTTAGGAGCTATTTATTGAGTCGAGCCCAAGCCCACTCATGAGTCGATTTCACTCACTTACTCCCCTACTTGCTATTATTTCTTCAGAATTATCTTTTGTCATATTTTAATGCGTTATATAACCAATCTAGTACTTTAGTTAATTTTGTTTAGAAAGTTAGTTGCCTTTCAATTACTTGTTACTTGTATTGTAACTGGTTTTTAAAAGGTTTCTAACTCTTGTTTATGTTTGAAGTTAAATGTGATTTTCACCCATTGTTATTTGGACTTTTGTTGTTTAATTAAGCCTATATTTTAGAATATTTTTAGATGATACAAGAAATTTTTCTTAAGAAAATAGGAATAAAATTAATGACTTTTGTGATCGAAGATAGAAGAGTTTTTAAAAGAATTAATTATAATCATTAGATTAAAATGAATTTGTATAATCTAAATGGAGGTGCCACTAGTATAAATACTGGTAATATCTTTGAATTTGTAATAAGCACAATAGGAAAAAAAAAAAAAGTAACATCATCCATCAAAATATATCTTCTCTTATCATCTTAACTTTGTTTAGTTCTAAAACCTTTCTTATTCCAACAAAATGGTATCAGAATATGAAGGTTCATTTCTAGAAAAAATGGCAAACAATGATACGATTTCCTTTGAAGAACCCATGCTAAAGACAAGTGACTATGATAATTCGATTATCAAGAAAAAGGCTCTCCTTGTGGCACACGATGTTTGGGAGGTTATGGAGAGAGGCTATGTTGAGCAAGTGACGAGTCATCCTTATCCTCAATGGAAAAGGGCAACCTAAAAGTCTTAAAAAAGAGACTCAAGAAGGCCTTCTTTCTCATCTTCAAGCCTTAAATGATGATGATTTTAAAATGATCTCAAGTGTTACTTCGACAAAGCAAGTATGGGAGTAGCTCCAAATCTCATATAAGGGAGAAAAGAAAAGAAAAAGGGTAAAACATTAAACATTAAGAAACCAATTTAATGCTTTGTACATGAAAGAAGATGAGTTAGTCTTTGATTACACTTTTTATAATCATTACTATTTAACTAAAGAAATGGTGAAAAGTTAGAAGTTATGAAAATCCTTAATAAGATTCTTTGTTGTTAACGTAAAAAATTGATAATATCACAACCATCATCAAATAGACTTAGCATATACAAGATATGAAAATAGTGTAACTATTGGGTTCATTGCAAGCCTGTAAAAAAGAAAAATATATATGAAGGGAATATTAAAAACTCAAGTTTGATCTTATATCCACACAGAAATAGAAAAGCTTCAAAAATAACAGAGACCAATATGGAAGAGGTTGTGGACAAGGATGAGATTATGTTAGTTAGTGAGGATTGAATTCCAACAACAACAATAAATACAAAAGAGAAAGGTTAACAAGAAAATGTTTAGAATCAAGGTTTCATAAATCTGAAGTGCCACAACTACGAAAAGTTCAGGCATTATGTTAATAAATGCAACAATAACAACAACAACATCAAGCCTTTATCCCACTACGTGGGGTTGGCTACATGAATCCTTTCTTCTCCATTGTGTCTTGTTAAAGTCAAATTCTCATTTAAATCTAATAAAGAAAGGTCATTAGTAATATTTTCTAACCAAGCCTTTTTAGGTCTGCCTCTACCTTTCTCAACATAAGTCAAATCTAATACCTCTACTCTCCTAATTGGGTCATTGGAAGGCCACCGTTTTATGTGACTAAACCATCTAAGGAGACTCTCTCTAATCTTATCTTGTACTGGAGCTACTCCAACCTTTTCACGTATATGCTCCTTTCGTATCCTATCTCCAAGGGTAAAGCCACTCATCTACCTGAGCATCCTCATCTCTGCCACACTTAACTTAGTATTGTGCTTCTCTTTTAATGGCCAACATTCAGCGCCATAATGCATTGCAGGCGTCACTACCATCTTATAAAAATTTCCCTTTAGTTTGAGGGGTACTTTTCTATCACACAACAAGCCCGATGCATTCCTCCACTTCAACCATCCAATTTGAATTCTGCTGATAATATCCCCATCTATTTCACCATCACTCTGAACAATATATCCAAGATATCTAAAATGTGTACTCTTATTAATGACTGATCGCCCAAAGTCACCATCCCCTCACTAGGTCTATTACTACTAAAATTACACTCCATATATTCTGTTTTAGATGTACTTAAGCGAAAACCTTTAGTGTCTAATTTTGACCTCCAAAATTCAAGTTTACTTTCAACTCTTTCTCTAGTCTTATCAACAAGAAGAATATCATCAGCAAAAGGCATACACCAAGGTACATCCTCTTGCAAATGTCTAGTGAGAACATCCATGACTAAAGAAAAAAGATATGGGCTTAAGGCTGAACCTTAATGTAACCCAACCGAAATAGGGAAATACTTAGTCAAACCACCTTGTGTTTGAACACAAGTAATAACTCTTGCATACATATCTTTAATGATTTGAATATAAGCATTATTAACTCATTTTATTTTCAAGAACTCTCCATAGCACTTCTCTTGGAACTTTATCATATGCTTTTTCTAAATCAATAAATATCATATGTAGATCCTCCTTATTTTCTCTATATTTCTCCATCAAACCTCTTAATAAATGTATGGCTTCCATAGTCGACCTACCCAGCATGAATCCAAATTGATTTTGAGAAACATTAGTATCACGCCGCAGCCTATGCTCCATAACTTGCTCCCATAGTTTTAAAGTATGACACATTAACTTAATTCCTCTATAATTCACACAATCTTGTGCATCACCTTTATTCTTAAAAATAGGAATTAACGCGCTCATTCTCCACTCATCTGGCATCTTTTTAGTCTTCAAAATAGTATTAAAAAGTTTAGTAAGCCAAGAATTATTAATGAATGCAGAACACCAAAAATAAAATATGTGAAAGATTCAACTATGTTAGAAATAGAGGAGAAGAAGATGATACTCTACTGCTACATACAAAGATACTGGAAGAGATGAATACGAAACATAGTACCTAGATGTGGGTGCAAGGAATTACATGTTTGAAGAAAGAAGCATGTTCATAGAGCTTGATAAATTGAAGTGTGATAATGTGTCTTTCAAAGATGAGTCAAAGATAGAGGAAAAAGAAAAAAAGAAATATTATTTTCCAATTGAAGAAAGCAAAGCATCAATTTATTTTGTGCAATATATGAAGAGTGACATGTTGAGTTTACAATAACTCTTGGAGAAAAAAATTATATTCTTTTGATAGAAAGCACTCTTTTCTACAAGAAAATAATAGCAACATGATTGTTAAGATGCCAATGTCAAAAAAATATAATATTCTAGCTCAACATTCAAAATGGTTACAAATTATCTCAAAATTTATTATAAAGATGCTTATTGACTATGACATCTTTAATTTGATTACCTCAATTTTTGAGGATTGGAGTTACTTTCATTTAAAAATAATAATAATTAAAAATGATAATCCGAGAACTATCTTACATAAAACATCTCTAACTAATTATCTGAAGCATGTTTAATTGAGATGCATTTTAGGGGAAGCTTTCAAAGGGATTCAAGTTAAAGAACATGAAATCTACTTCAATTCAATCATACATTTGTTTGCAATCCATTAAAGTCGAACTCACTCAATAAGAGTAACTATTTCTTTTTTATCATGGATGTTTTTTCATAAAAAAATTGTAGATGTATTTCTTGAAGAAAAAATCAGAGAGATATAAGTATTCAAGAAGTTTAAGACTTGCGTTGGGAAAGAAAATAGACTTAAGATCAAAAGATATGTGATCTGATCACGTAAGAGAATTTGCTTCAAAATATTTTTAAGAATTTTATGAAGCCAATGGAATACATCGAACTTATACATTTTTGAGATCCCATTAA